GTGTGGCTGAAAATGAGTTTTGAAGAAATAAATTTTTGGAAAAATGGAGGCCAAACATAGGCTAAACAATGCTTAATGAAATTTCCATAGTTGTTGGAATAAATAATGAGCATATTCCTTTATTGCATTACAAGATATGGCATTTCCATTTGAATCTCCATATTTAATAGTTTAATAATATTTTTTTGTGCCAATATGATTAAATAAATGCTTGTTGGGCCAAACTTCGACATACTGTCTACTATGCTTTGTAGGGAAACAAAGCCGACAAGTTCAGGTGTGCACAAAGATTCCACCTTCAAACAGGAAAAGAACCTTCCATGGAGGTACTTATTTTATTGGAGATAATATAACAGTCCAATTGTCTAGGTTTCAGAATGCATGAAATATTCCAGCGTGAAGATGTTAATCTGAATTTCAGTGTAACTTAAACATATGTAGGTGTAAATGCTAGCAACATTTGCAACACAAAAAGTGGCCTGATGAAGAAGGCAAAGCTAGAATTCCTCAACAGGTACCTCAAATCTATAATATGGCATATCTACTTATTTCTGGAACTCTAGGTTTCATGTCATAATGTTTTGCTGCATGCTTGCAAACTTATGGTTGATAATGCTTCCTTGATTATTCAAGTCATAGATCTCCTAGATTATTCAAGTCGGTTCACTTCTTATTCAAGTCAGAGATCATAACTTCAAAACTATCAACTTCTGTGTCTACATCATAGTTGCAAAGTTTATCTTTCAAGAAATTTTGGTCATGAATAGACTGGGGGAAGAGGGGGAGGAGCATGAATCAATCTTTCGAACTGAAAAGTCAAATCAAAATTCATTTGGATCTACAACATGACTTGATCAAATTCGTATATTCTATTGGGGATTGAATGCATGATGCACCTGTACTTGTTGACTCTGCATCACATAAAATCCGATCTGAAGATTCTGTCACCACTCTGCCCCTCGCACCGACTTATGCACCCCACAGCATTCTTGTGCAGCGTGATTATCAGACTTAATGACGTGCTTAAAGCATTTTTCATTGGGACTTCCTGGTACTATTTCTTCATGGAAAAATAATCTTTTACTATTTTCTGCAGCCGAGAGGTCAAAAATTTAGCAGCTATGAAGAGTAAAGTGGTGCGGGAAAATCATAGGTACTAATTTCAGTAAGCATATGTGAGCTTACTAGTCTCTATATCATTACCAGTTCTCATCATGCCATCTCTTGGTTGTTCACCAGCATTGTTCCCGTGAAGAAACCAGTTGTTAATGCCAGATATGCAGCTTCATCATCATCCAAACTCACCAAGTGACTATAACGAGACCTGACATGGTCTCAATAAATCTTCGGATTATTTCTTTCAAGTAAACAATGGTGTAATGTTATGTTCTTAAAATGCATCAAAATCCAACTTGTATAAGCTTTTTATATACCACAGTCTCATCTTTCTTTGAGCAGTCTGAGAGTTAATTCATGATAAAATCAATGCGCGATCACCTGGGATAAACAAATTCAATATTTGGTGACGTCATAATTTTTGTTGTCCTTACTAAAAATGTAGGAATTTATATCTACACTGGCAAAATATTTTTGCGTATAACAGAGGTGACTGGGAACCGAATTTAGGAATACTCCTTTCCAGCATACCCGATCAAAACATAAATCAGTTTTTTCGACATTGATGACTGAGTTGTTGAAAGTTTTCAGATCAACAAATCTTCTTATTTCCTTTTATCACGCATCTTTCTTTCTTCACAAGGGTGGATTCAGGAATTTTTGGTGCACGGACTAAAATTTAAAGGTCGATATAATAAATTGATATATTAATTAAAGCCAAATTACCTTAAGTTGTTCCCGTTCAATGCTAATATTTGAGGATGAATGTCGTTCTATTTCT